GATGAGAAAGCAAAGGAAAAGAAAAAAAAAGAGAGAGAAGAAAACGAAAACGAAAAGAGAGAGAGAGAAGAAAATGTTTTGCCAGGAACAATAAAAAATCAAGCAACCAACGGACCGAGGAGAAACGGTTGCACGGCGTGTACGCGAGCAGGATAAAGACAACGCCGTTTTCTGAATCCTGATTGCCGGTCGTTAAACGCTCCATCCGGCCACCACGCCGTCCCCACCCACTTTTCGCGCGACCGACGACATTCGCTCGCAGGGAAGACGCTCGTAATTACGAGTCGCCCCTCGTTATGACAATGCAATCGCGGCTGAAAATAGAAGACCCCGGTTTTTCAGGCGCCACCACGTGGTTCGTTTAACAACCGCGTGACCGTGCGCGACGAAAAGGACAACGATTTCCGCGTTATTTTCGTTCGTTACGCTCTTTCAATTCAAATTGTTTGAACGAGCATGTGTTTGTGGAATATTTAGCTGGTTTATATCGAGTTCAGAAGAGTGGACAGGGAAGCTGCTGAAGTATGTCACTTACGCCAGAGCTGTCCACCGGCGGAGCTCCTTACGCGGCTTTGTCCTCTCCTACGCGCCGCCACTAGAAGCAGACAGATCAACGCATTTTCAGGGCAAGTCGTATTCGTTGCTGCGCAACGTGTGTTTCTAGCAGAAAGATCCGCGAGCAAGGAGCTTAGCTTGGACAGCGCTGACGCGAGAAGAAGGGCAAAAGAAGGAAAACATAAAGCAGAACGCAATTGTATATAAGCGTATACGCGACAATCTCTCAGCCGCGTTATCAGTTTTCCTCGTTCGCCACGTTCTTGTTCGTTGTGTGTTCGGTCGGTTCATCGGTTAGTCGGTGATTATTGTCAGGAAGGAACGTCGAGCAGCTGCAACTATTCAATGACCGTGCCTTCGGATTAGCAATGTCTCGCGGCAGACGTTTCGCTGTTGAATAGCACCGTGCCAAAACTATTTTCACTAATGAAGCGCCGTTAAAACTTTCCCGATATTCCCTCCCCACGAGCTGAAGGCCCCGGCGATCCCTTCCCAGCTTGGTATATACCGTTTGTTCGCCGTTCAATCGCCGGATATTCCAAAACTGCGCCGCTCGATATTCCGACTAGTAATTGCACTTGGATAGGTTACGGCCGCTCACGTCACTGCGATCAAGTATACCGCTTTACCGAATCTTTCGCAAACGCCACGAATGGCTTCTGAGCATCCGATATTATGCTCTCCCGCATTCTCGCTCCCTCTAAAAGAGCAAGAGCAATTGCTCACTGTCAGTCCGATTCGTCACTGACCTCGCATCGTCCGCGCAATTTAATTGACTGATTTA